CTTGCTTGTCTGTCCGCAGGGTCAAAGAACATCGAAAACTGATTTTTCAGAAAAAAACATTTCTAGAGGTATTTCGATATAGGGACTTCGAATCTGATGTTAGTTTTTCAAAATTCTTTAAAGAAAATTTTTTTCAGATAAAGGACCATTTCTTTACAAAAAAACAATTTTTCATATAAAATTTAACGAAATAGCTTTTGAGATCGGGGAACACGAATCTGATGTTAGTGTTTGCAAGTTATATAAGCAAAAGGTCTCGTAGCATTATAGAATACCATTTCTACGAGAAAGAGATAAGCGAGTCCTTAGACGAGCGTTACTTGTAAAATAGTAGGTTATCAATGCTTTCTGGATATATAGTGAGCATTATTTACGCATAAGAGAAATATCTTTCAAAATTATCCTTGAATAGATGAAGGTTCAATAATATCTACTGATTCTTTGATATTTATATAAATGGAATTTATAATAAATCAGAAATTAAAATTGGATATCTATTTTATACTATACATGGAATATAATTAAGTATATCATGTAATAGTTGTTTTTCAATCGAATAGATATCATATAGGTGTGTTATTTTCAAGGACAGTATAGGAACTTATTATATACTCTTTTGATGTTGTTCATGATTGTTTTGTTTATTTTTGAATATAATATTAACAAACAAAAATTAAGATTAAACCAGACCGTATCTCAATTTTTATTTTTATAGACTTTCACGTTATGAAAAGAAGTAAATAGGTGATAACCTTGAAGACTAATGATATCATTTATTCACTTGATATGTACTAAAGTATTCATAAGTAACTTTTTTCTTTTTCATTTATCATCATTAGTCAGTATAAATATCCATCTAAGATTGAATCTATATATTAAATATTAAGATATTAATATATATTGAATAAGTACCAATCAACTTCATTCACAGTTTAATTGTAAAAAATACTTGGTATTTACCTAGAAAAAATTCGTTTATCATTCACGATGAATACATTATGATAAATAGTGTATTGTTCATAATGTCTTATTATGCATAATATATCAAACAGTAAAAAAAAAAGAGATCAATTGATTTGGCCTTCATCGTATATGTATATATACATCGTAATAAAACATTACCCATGTCTATTGTTAATGGTTATAAACATACTAAAAAGAGCATGAAGCAAGGCGGAAAAAGCAAAATGTGATTTAGTGATTAAAATTGATTAAAGGTGATTAAAAATAATTTAAGGTGATTTTTATGATTTAAATCATTTTTTCCCTCTTGGCATGAAGCGTAATTGAAAATATTAGGCGAATAATGAAAGGAAAAGCGTTATATTCTCCTACCTGTTATTAAATAGTAACTGATAACTCAATTCAGAAAAATTATTTGTACTCTTCTCATTGAAGCTTCCGCCTAGCGTGCTAAGACGTTCAAAATAAGTTGTATCATCACAAGAATGAATCCATAAGTATCCAACTATTTTTGAAGAAGTCATTTATGGAATTATTTTCGTACTAGCTAGATGTATAGTAAACAGAAAATGCGCTTGTTTGGAAAATATTTATGACTTCTACCTGAATTACTAGATATCTAAGTTGGAAGAGAGTTTTCCAAATAATGAAAATATTGGAAATTTATATTTTATATAAAATCAAGACGTCAGTGGATTATCACTACCCCCGAAATATTCTTGTATTCGATATACAGCGGTCAAGATATGAGATTTTAAAAAACTATAACTTTTATATAACTTAGGTCAAAGCACGTTTTTCTTAATAATTAATACAAAGATATTACTGTTCTTGAAAGTCTTATATTTCAATTAGAATACAATGAAAACAGCGACCTTTTAAAAGTTGTGCTAGTCTAGTGATATTCTATCTTTATCCAAAAGATAACTCTTAAACATTAATGTTTTTAGCGCATTGTTTCTCTTCTTAGATGTTTTCTAAAAGACGATCTAAATCATTACTAATTATGACGCAAGTCACGAATTCTTTCCAATGAAACGTTGTTTTAATTCTCTACGCGCTTAAATAGCATAAAAAACTCAATGGATAATACTCTTAGCTAAGACTGGAAGATTAGTTAAAAAGAATCTTTAATAACAGATAATTCGTGTAGTTCTAAGACATGATCAATAATGGTACTCCTAGACACTTATTCAGAGAGAATACTAAGGTAAGTTAGGAAACATATCTGAACTCCACTGGACTGATATGGAATAAAGATGTTACGCTACCTATTACTTCTATCTCCATTTACGAAGGTAACAGTAAGTATTTTTGTAATTGAACAACTAGTTTATTCATGAGTTACTTGTATACTCATGGTAATTTTGATCACTTATCATCTACTTATAAGCAGTAAATAATTTTTATTTCACTGAAGATAACCTATTTAACATGTTATTATTGCTGAAACATGAGCGATATTTCTTGATTTTATCTAGTCCGATTATATTATCGTATCTAAATTTCATAGTTTTTCAAATCAATTTTATGCCCATCAATATAAATGGTTGAATCCCAGCGAAGTAATAGTCACAAAATCTTCAAGGCAGCATGTACAATAAGGTGAAAAGTCTCTTAAAATTTTCGAATCATGTGAGGCAGTATATTATAAACATTCTCTGAGTATTCTATCTTTCGATAGCCCTGCTACAAGTATTGCCTACATTTTGAATTTCTATCACAGTTATAAAAAAAAAGATCTACTCATTTTCAAAAACTAGCAAAGATTATTAATGGCCATTATCATACAACAACGTGTTATAAATGATCGATAGCGTTATTGCTGTTTAATGAATGCTCAATCGAATATCGTTTTTTATTACTTGACAAGTCTCACATCATTAAAGTTGATATCGATTTATATCAATATTTACTATAAATCAATACCGAAGTGTTGTATGATATTATTGCACACTTATATTTTATGGTTATTTACATTACAAAAAAAACTATCTACAAATTACCTTCTTTTATAATATCAACATAAATGTTTAATTCATTTAACACATAGAGAATAATTTTATTTTAGGTAATGGATCATAAAGTGCTCTATCTTTGCTAATCTGACATCGGAAGATAGTCATCTTCTCTAAACGATGTACCTTTCCCAAGCCAAAATGTTTTTTTCAATTTTCTTTCTAATATAAAGGCGTATTGTGATGTAGTATATCTATGCTGTAAAAATCAAAACAATCCAGGATGGGTAGATCCCTGAAAAACCAAGGTTTTAACAATATATGTGATAAAAAAAATTTTGTTTTCATTTCTAATGATGTTGCATCGGAATTTTTGGTTCCTTTTTATAATTAATTAAATCTGACGTGAGATTCACGTTCTTCGTTTTTATCTGCTGGGATCACTCGATGGGAGATTGTCAGAGCTGCGACGCCCCCCTCTCCCATCCTTCAGAAATTTCGTTTTTTGCCCGACAATTTATGAACATTTCGGAAAAGTTTAGAAATATTTATCAAAGTTTTTGAAGAATTTACAAGATTTTTTAAGAGTGCTGGAAAATTAATAAAAATTTCGGAAAAATCTTTCGAAAATTCGCGAAAGTTTATAAAAAAATCGGAAAAATTTCCAAAAATGTTTGAATATTTCTAAAAATTTTCAGAAAATTTTAATTACGTTATTAACGGCCCTCCACTCTTTTGCATTTCGGAACACCCCTGTATTGATGTTCAACGATTTTTTTTCTTTGTTTATTATTTTCATCACTATCATTTATTTTAAATATTTAGAATACATCTGTAACAAAAAGTGATTTTTGTAGGTTCTACAGCGTTTCGCGGCGTATATTTTACTTGTTAAAGGAATATATTAGAAATTTGAAAAAAAGATAAAACATACATCTCTTATACAAATATATCATTCACTTTATTACGGCCTACGAAAAGAATCTTCAGTATAATCTGAGCTTAAGTTGTGAAAAGGACAAGGGACGGTAAAGCGACTTTTTCACCCCAAACGTTTAGGTAAAAAAACTATATGGTTAGAATCAGCATTAAATTCTGAACAAAACTGTATATTTTTTTTGCCGTGGTACCCCCCAAAAAAATAAAAAAAGTTTTTTTTGTTTTTCACAGTAATTTTGTCTAGATATAGGTTATCGACCACGCTGATCACGAATTTAAGGTTTATTTTCAATAAAAAAGTGATTTAAATGAACAATGGCCTATTTTGACAAAAAAAAAATTTTTCTCTCTAGGTCACTGAAACTTTTGATTGTGAATGAATTAGTTCTGTTTAGTATTGTTTATCTGTTCTTTTAGTAATGTGTTCTGATGAAGATAGTGTATTTATAAAAAAAAAAGAATCCCTTTCTGATTTGATGTAATTGAAACATTTCTCCTTGACAATGATATATAGTCTAGGCTTCAATAGATACAAGTAATAATAACAATACGTATGAAATTCTAAATCAATAGCAAAGTTTATATTTATTCAAAAGTGAACATTTAAAAAGATTTATATATATATTTCAAAAATAATTTCTATCATACAAGCAATTTATAAAATTAACATAAATTAATTTGAAAAGTTGTTTATCTTGTTAAACATTATTTCTAATTATTAACTACTGTCTACATAAACATGATCAATCGATAGACGTTGACATGTCATATATTACTATTCTCTTTTTTTTTTCTTGTTCGATGACTAGTTCGCATTAATATGTCGTATTCTCTTAATATTTTGATGTATTGTGTACCTAGACATATCTAATAAGATAAAATATAAGAGTAGTGAGGCGAATCGATGATAAAAAAAAAATATCATACGGTAAAGAAGCTGGAGAAAAAAAAATTTGATCAATAGGACTGATTTATTCAAGGCTTCTTCCTAGCAAAAAAAATAAGAGGAAAATATTTGCGCCCACGTCCAGCAATAACAAAAAATGAAGCGACCGTAGGCTATATAAAGCTCTGATTTTTGTCTATCATTGTACATCTAATTTCATTTGATTTTAGTATTAATAGTCGACAGTTACAAATATGTATGCTCCTTTACCAGCTGCCCGTAATCGACGGTAAATAAATAAAATTTGATTCTTTCGTATTGTCTATCTCAATTCTTTGTTTTATTAAATAGAGCTGGCTTCGCAGCCGGCGCTCCAATTTTGGCTATATGTTGCCTTGGATTTATTCTTTTTTTGATTGCTGCAACGATTGTTCTTGCATTGATACCTGTATATCTATCAAAAAGAAGTGGTGGCAGCTCAAGTAAGGATATCATTTATTCTAAAAATATTTTCATCATATTTTTGTATATTAAGGCTCAACTACTCCACGTTATCAATTTGTTCTGACGCCTAATCCAGCAGCTAAACGCCAAACGAGTTATACTCCACCCGCTGGAAGCACATTGGATACTGCATCACTCGCTAGCATTGATTCAGAAGTAAATATATATATATGAATATACGAGTATTGACTATTTTTTTATAAATGCATTTACTATTATAGCTAGCAAGAGTTTTAAAAATATCAGCTGATGCAATTTTAATTGAGTATGGTATAGTTGCTAGTGATGGTACTTCAAAAGTCTATTGTCCATTGGAATTTAATAAACAAAAATGTAGCAAATGTGGAAACAATGGATTCCTTGAAAGTATTCAGTCTTTTGCAATTACACCTACTATTTTCGGTCATCCAGTTTCATATGCTGTAGTTTTAATTTTGAATAGTAAGTGAAACATACGATGCATAAAGGATATAAAACTTATTGCTTTAGGTAATAATATTCCAACAACTTCAACTGCTGCACCTGGAAGCAGCGGATCTGGAAGCAGTGGAACAGGAAGTAGTGGAACTGGAAGCAGTGGTACTGGAAGCAGTGGTACTGGAAGTAGTGGAACTGGTAGTAGTGGAACTGGAAGCAGTGGAACTGGAACCACTGCAGCTCCAGGTAAAGATATCATCTATTATCAAATCTTTTATTTTTCTCTACCGTATTTTGTGTGTTTAGGTACAACTGCTTCAAGTTTGTCATTGAGTTTTCCAGCTGACAACTTACCTGATGGCGACGTGGATAAAGCCTCATACGGTCCCATTGGTAGCTCGGTAAATACATATCTGAATATATAAAAATCGAAAATTTTACTATAAATTCATCTACTGTTATAGGTAGCAAAGAGTCTTGGTATACCAGACGGCAGTGTTGTTATTGACAGTGCAACAGTTACAGACAGCAAAAGACGTAGACGACGTGGTTTGTAAGTATTCAACAAAATAATAAAATATCAACTGTATAATTTAATTTATTTTATTAAAGTGGTCTTATGCGTGAACGTCGTGCCTCACACCATCATCTTCTGCTTTTCTTCCATTTTCTTCTAAGCTTATGTCCAATGTGTGGTGATCCTTCATTTCTTAGCAACGTAGAAGCTACCCCAATCACAATCTCGGTCGCAATTATCGTCGGTGGTGTTACGGTTACAGTTTCATCTAGTGCTACTGTAGCTCCAAGCAGTAGTAAGATAAATATTTTAAGTATACATTACATAATCTTTATTATTTTAGCCGTTTCGGCAACTACTCCAATATCGGGGGCTGCAACTACTGTAACAATGGCTGGAGCAACTGCAAAAGTTGTTGGTTAATCTTATCCAAACAACATTTAAAATACATTTATTTTCTTTTTTTTTAATTTTTTTTTCATATTTATCTTAATCATTTTAATCCATAATCAAAAATATTTATTTCGCTTGAAACTATTTTTTTTTTGGTTTTTATTTTTTTTTTCATAAATAAATTATTACTCTCGCTGTTCGTATTTAGTAAATCATTGTATTAATTGAAATCAGATATTCAACACAAGTAATTTCTAAATTAAAGCATCAATATTCTTTCATACTTTTAAAGGACTTATTTTACGCATTTGATTAGCAATTATAAAACGTTACTTGTTATTTTATTTACATATGGTAGTCAAAAAGTTTTGCAACTTCGCTATATTTATTCACAGAAACAACGCTTCATCTATCTTTCTGCATCATATATTAGAGGTAGTAGTTGTGATATTTTATAGAAAGTTTCAGTCTTCTAACATACTGTTGGGATGTTCTCTGAAGTAAACTATAGGTATAAAATTGACATGCTTGGATAACGTTGGATTTTACTAGTTTTTTGAGTCCTCAAAAAATTAGAGAAGTTCTTGATTGGAAAATGCAATTTTTTGTAGTATCATTAGTAGCTACCAGACTTATATCTGCACCACAATATAAAACCGAAACCATCATCAGAACTTACGCAAACACGAGAAAATGATCATTCCCCCGACATTTTACTGCTAACGATGTCAGAAACTAAGGTATGTATCAACTTTTTATGACATCCGAGTCATTATCTATCATATGGTGATTCCTATAGTGGTAATTAATACTCTCTATATTAGTGAGAAATGTTTAAATTCACAAATAAAAACATTATCGAATAAAAAAGCATTATCACGCTCCTAACCTATCAATTTCCATTATGCTGTTTTCAGCAACATGTAAAATAATGTCATTATCTCCTTCAAAATGAAAAGGATGAAGCTAAGACACACCAAGCGTACTCACCTCGGGATAGCCTCCCAGAATCTTAGTTGTTCAGGTATATTCAACATAGACTAAATAATCGCCAGCTACAAAAAGTTAGCAGAAGTTTTATCCAAGCATGTCAATTTTTTACCAATAGTTTACTTCAGAGAACATCTCAACAGTGTGTTAGAAGACTGAAACTTTCTATAAAATATCACAACTACTACCTCTAATATATGATGCAGAAAGATAGATGCAGCGCTGTTTCTGTGAATAAATATAGCGAAGTTGCAAAACTTTTTGACTACCCTATGTATCTAAATAATCTGTTGGCAAAAAAATTTCGAGGGTTTCATACTTTCATGTTTATTTCAAAATATAAATAAAATTGTCTGAGTACTGTCACTCTATCATAGACACAAAATTTTACATCAAAACAAAATAATACTTTTTTGTAACCAATGATGTTTTACGTAGATTAACTTTGATGATCACTATCTGTCAATGTATGAAAGAATATTAGGATTCAAATAAGAGTGCACCAAGGAAAAGTGCGCGTACAGTCTTGTTGACATCTATGATTAGTTTTGTTTTGATGATACGTACAATACAGCTAATTTGTTTTTTTGCGTGTATTCATGGGCAACTAATGATGTATACCTTGAGTTAGACAGATAGGTATTGACAAAAGAAAATGATATTCTATAGATATATACATGAATATTCGTATAATTTTGAATAATACGTAGGAAGAAAAAAATTTTTTATTGTATTTTTTTTTTGCTCTTTGTACCTCAAACAACTATTTATTTTTTAATGAAAAATCTAATGTATAAAGAATATTTCAATGAAAATATCATGTTTTCATTCATCTTATTCAATTTACATATATATTCACTTTTTTGTGGCTCGTCCTTGAATATTCAATTATTAGATATTTCTTTCAATGAGATTTTTTCTTCAAAAAAATTGATATATGAGAATATTACCTAATCTTTACTTTCTAAAATAAACATTAAAAAATTTCTCTATGTATGAAATAATTCTGAATAGATTAGATCATATTCTATGAAATTTGAAAAATCTTCATACCTCTTTCATTAGGATATCCGATAAACGACATTTGATAGCCATTCGATTAAATGAAATCATACAATAATTTATCATGTTTGAAAACTTCTAAAATAATATCATCAGGATTCGATTGGATGTCAATAGGAAAGATAACAGCATACGTCTTTCATTTTCTATGTTATACGATTCGAACGTTAGTAATGAAACTGAGACGCGAAAAAAAAATACCTTATTAAACATCTATTATATCACAAAGTGAAGCTATTAGAGAAAAAGAGTGTCTAAAAAACAATAATCTGTCGTTCATCTAAGTGTTTTTTTGGGAACAATTACTCAAAATTCAAATATTTTTCAATATACATCTAATTCTTCTCCTGCTTGAAAAGTTTTTTTTTCGTTATCAAACCTTCTCCTATCATCGAATATCTTATATGAATAATTTGATTGATATTCGTTTTTAATACGAAGAAAAACAAAATGCATTTATATATATATATGTATATATATATGCATACACCATTTAGCTGAATATTCTTATCAAGATTAATTTTTATTTCATATATAATTATCGAGATGTGATGATAACTCATATGAACGTATACAATTCAAGCTGATTAACAATCGATCCAATTTTTCTCACCGAATAATTATATTAAAAAATAACTTGCCTGCGACTTTTGCAACAAAAAAAAAGATATTTATTTATAATGACGAATAGAAGAATAAAGAAGCAATAAGTATACTAATCAATCATAAAAAGATAAATGTTAAGTATGCTCGTCATCAAAATATATTACGTCTCAATATTTATGAATATCTTTTAAAAGAAAATAAAAAAATAAAACCTGAAATCTGCGTAATTCAAGATTTATATGACAAATAAGTAACTATAAATAATGTAACAATGAAACGATTATTTTTAGGTTTCGAAGGCTATTTAACAAAACAAAACAATAGGCTACAACATAATGAAATCAACAGCGACTAAATTAGAGTATTTAGTCCACATTTTATGCAAATATATTATTATAGAATATATTTTGAATTATTGTTTTATAAAAGACAGGCATTAAAATTTGATATCAAATACGTTAATACTATCGTCAAAGAAAGATTCAGTTCTTATTACGAAAGATGTCATAATTAATCCTAGCACATTGAGTATAAACAGCTTTCATTCAACTATGAATTTTACTAAGAAGGGTTGATGGTGAAAGATTAGAATAATCTGCTATAAAAGACAGTTCTTTCAAGGATTTCGATAAGAGATATTAAAAGAATTTCAACAATAGATTGATTACGTAAGTGCTTTGATTCAAAAAAAGAATTCATTTCTATTCAACTTTGGATTTGTTAAATACTATCTCATAAATTTGATATCATAAAATCATAATATAAGTTTTGCACAGATATATTATTCCAATGAACTCAATCATTATTGTATATAAAAGAAAACAATTCAATTTTCATAGAAAAAAAAAAGATTGATCATTATTTTTTTACCTAAGTTAAAAACAAAAAGAGTTCAAATAGCTGGAACTCTGTCGTCTTAAAAAAATCTGGAATGTCAACAAAAAAAATTTGGAATGTATATATGTACGCACAAATAAAGTATCGAAATAATACAAAAAAAGAAAAAAGAAAAGAAGAAGAAGAAGAAGAAAAAGAAAGAGCAGTGCAGAGCAATAATTTTAGCAAAAGAAACAAATAGTGGAAAAATCACAAAAGAAAAATGTGAACAAATACTGTCAATGTAATATGAATAATAAAGGATAATAATAATTAATAATAATAAATAGCCAGTAATACACACTCACACATACAAATAGATCATGCTACCAAGTTTTGATTTATATATATTTTTTTCTTTTCATAAAATCATAAAATTCACAACATATATTCGAAAATGTTGCATATTCCAATCAATCAATGATTGCCATATGTTAAAACTAAAAGAGAGAGGTAGGAACTTGCACAAAAGAACAATAACAATAAGAAACAAAAAGAAAACATAGACAGCAAATAGTCACCGAGCGCGCACATACAGACGAACTAATACTACTACAATGCGAGAAAAACAAAAGAAAAGAATGTAATTTAGTTTTTTAATTAGAGTTAATATAAGAATTTTGATCAATGGAAGAATTATTTTTTTTTTAAGAAAAACTGTTCAAGATTAAAAAAGAAGAAAGAAAAAAAAATTCTCATGTATATATAACAAAATACAAAATAACAGATTTGTTTTTTAGAGAGAAAGAAAAAAAAAGAAGAAGAAGGAAAGCAAATGTTCATTAATTTCTTTTTGTTAATTTTCATTTATAAATAAACTGCTTCCTGTTGAGTACGTCGACTGCTTACGGCTAAAATATAGAAATACATGTAATTGAGATATTCAATTGTGAGCAAAAATGTATGTGCGCATATATCATGCAGAAAAAAGAAGTGAAAAAATAAAGAATGTGCAATGGTTATTTGTGTCCATGCACTCACTGAAATTAATATAGACTGTGCTCAGTCAAACCAAATCTGTTTGGATATTGTTGATATATTTTCTCGTGATTGATAACTGAGCAATGTGAGATAGATAGATAAATTAAAATTTTAAAAATGTTTTGTTTTGTTTCTTAGAGGAAAAAGAAATTTACCTCGTCTTTGTCCGGTTTGAACAAATGGTAAAAGTGAATTAAGTGGTATAGCATGTTTCATAGAAAATTCATAACCAGCTGGATCAATAACTAAAATTTCTAATTGTCGACGTCGTTTACTTGATTCAATCATTTCAATAATTTGTTCGGATGATAAATATGTTGTATCACGACTATTGATTTCAATTATTTTATCATTTGCACGTAAACCATATTCATAGGCTGGTGAACCTGGATGAACATCTTTGATATGTATTGGATTTCCACGTTGTAATGTAAATCCAAAATCTTGTTCATGATTATATAAAACAATGCGACATAAACGTGGTGCTAATTCTCGTACAAATGGTAATTGATAATCGAATGGATCTGGTTGTAAATAACCACCTTTACGTTTTAAAACTTGATAACCTGGAGCTGTTAATGTAACAAGTGTAACTTGACCTGTTTCTTCAAATGTTCGTTGAATTAAAAGAGTCATTTCATCAAATGATCGAATAGCTTGAACATTACGAGTTTCAATATAAATTATTTGATCACCTTCAGTTAAACCACTAGATAAAGAAAAAAAAAAGAATAAGTTTAACATGTCTTTTGAGAGAAAATAAGAATTTATATACCTTCGTTTAGCTGGACTATTTGCACGAACTTCAACAACAATAGGTGTATCATAATTATCTTTTTCAATCATTCGAAAACCACATCCATGAAAACTTGGATCTCGAACAAGAACACATTTTCCTAAAAAGAAATTATATACGATACAATATTATTACATAGATGTCATTAGGTATGTAATCAATCGATTAATCAAATTAACATTAACAAATTGAGTCTTGGTACATGGCTAGACATTATTTTTATCAATAACCATATACAAATTGTTAAAAACTTAACGGTCTGATAGAAATACTTGTTACCTTTTTGTCCGTGACAACGTGTGAAAAAATATTTTCTGACGTAGTAATCCGTGATGAAAAAAAATTACTCAAATCTTTCTCCTTGTCAATAAACAGAACTTATCACATTCTAAATTTTCGATCCGATCTCGATTATTTAATTAGTGGACTGTAATAGTAGTGCAAATTTAAATTATATTCTTACGAGGCCATGGGTCCGTAGGTAAATATGGTTGACTAGTAAGAAGTGCTGATCGATTTTGCTGTCGTTGATATGTATCAAAACCATGAGCACTATATGGTCGTTCTGGATAACTTGATGATGATAAACCAGCATTTTCGAGACGTGATGTTGATAAATATTTAACCATTGCTGGTGGTTGTTGTTGTCCACCAAATGATCCATCATATGGTGACCATGTTGTATATTGATCAAGATTATTTCCGTCATAATACATACGTTCATCATTTAATGATGGTAATGATTTTGTTTTAACTGAATTTCTTGATGAAGGTTTATTTAATGGTTTTATATTACTTGGTGAAATAAGTAAACGTACAACACCATTATTACTAGCATTTTTAATTAAAGCAACAACATCTAGTAAAATTCAAAAAAGGAATAATAGAAAAAAATATAAAATTAATAATTTTTGAATATATATACCTCGATGTGGTCTTTGAGTAATATTTTCATCATTAACTTCGATTAAACGATCTTCATTATGTAAACCAGCTCGAGCTAAAATTTCATAGAAGAAAATAGAATATATTTAAATAAAACATCTTTTTTTTACCAGCAGGTGATTCTGGTTTAACATTACGAATAATATGTTTATTATCTTCTTGTGCTAATTCAAAACCAAACGTTTGACCGGGTTCGGTATTTAAACGACAGAAACGTAACATTGATTTTCCATCGACAACATCAACAGCTGCTCGTGATAATGGTATACGTGGACGATTTAATGATGATGTTACACTTGGTGCTACTGTTGAACGATAATATGGATCACGTGTTGGTGATACATAACCATCTTAAGAAGAGAAAAAAAAATCAAAGATATTAAATATTTTTTTTTGATTTACTTGTATAAGGATATGGTCGATTTGATGGTCCAGTTGATGGTGGTCGACTTGTTGTTGTTGGTGGTGGTTGATAGGGTGTTGGTGGGAATACAATTTCTTGTTGACCAGACATTGGTTCAACAGGTGTATAACGTGTCGGTGGTGATACAACACTTGAATCAGTTGATGTATATACAGCTTGATGTTCTGGTGTAACATGGCTAAAAATAGAAATTTTAATTATTTTGCTTATTTTTTTTTGTTGTTTTTTGTCTTATTACCGTGTAATATTAGCTCTTTGAGATAATGGATCAATACGAAAATGATTACGTTTATACCATTGATAACCATTATCATCAATAACAAGTAAACTAACTTCACCATCTCGACGATATGAATCATTAATAAGTTGATAAACATATTGAAAATCAGTTGTTTCAACATTAATATTATTTACTTGAATTAAATGATCACCATTACGAATATGTGTATGTGCAGCTGGTGAATCTAATCGAAGTTGTTGTATTTGATAACCACCACCAGTTGCATTTGGTGTTTGTACAATAGTAAAACCAAGTTCTCGATAAGTTGGCCAAGGCTAAAATATTTTCAAAATAAATTAAAAATAAAATTTTTCTTTTTTGTTACTCGAATAAAACATTGTCGCATTCTTGGATATGGTTCATCTGTACTTGTTGGTGGTGGATATGAATCATATGTAGAACGACTTGGTGCTCGATGATCAGCTATTAATGTATCTGTTGCTGGTAATTGATTCAATGATCGATATGTATTTTCATCCATAACTTCTAATAATAATGCACCATCACGTGGACTTTCACTTCTTACTAAATTTTGCATTAAACTATTAAATTCAGCTGGATTCATATGTTCAACATTTTGATTATTAACACGTAAAATATAATCACCAGCACGTAAACCTTGTGAATCAGCAGGTGAATATGGTTCAACAGAAATAATTTGATGTGGTGTACCATCAGCTTGATGATTTGAACGTACACGAAAACCGTAACCTTCAAAATCAGGATTACGATGTAAACGATATTGTCTACGATTTTGTTGTAAATTTGTATTTGTTGTTGTTGGAATAATTTTTGTTGGTTCAATATTTGGTCTGATATTTTTTGAATTTTCTTTATATGCACGATAAACATTACCATCTGTAACTAATAAACGTATTGTTTCACTATTATTTATACGTCGTAATTTATCTTCAAGTTGTTCATGATTTAAATATTCAACATTTTCATCATTTATCGATAATATATAATCATTCATACGAAGTCCTTGTGAACCAATTGAATTTGTATTATCAACTGATGTTACAATATGACTAAAAGGTGTATTTGATGATGATGTATCATTTGTTATTGTACGAAAAT